ATTATCATCAGCTTCCCCTTTCTTCCATTTGTAATATATGATTTTTATAGATGCTTTTACTTACTCTAGGCCAGGTTTGTTTTTGAACTAGTGTGGTGTGTTTTTTCTTGATTGTGGGATCTTATTTCTGGTTTGAATTTGTATAGCTTCAGCTCCCAGCTGTTGGATCTTGTAATGCTTTTGTTGGCTAGATAAGAGCTCTCTGCTTTCAGAAATTATCTCCCCATGTAGGTATTTATAGATTGTGATCAAGTCATCTCTTTACTTCTTAAACTAAATAGACTGAACTTCTTACGTTTCTCACTGTAATTCATGCCTTCTAGTCTTCAAATCATTCTTGTGGCGCTTTTCTAAACTCTCCAATATATAGTTCCAGTCAGAATTGGGCGCTAGTGGCATCAGGCTTTTTTGGTCATAGCCCTGGTAGGTCACAAGATTCAGACTTAAAATTGTAACATTCTCTGCATAGTCCAGATACCTCTGAAATAAATAAAATTCTAGTTAAAGCAGGTTATATGATGTGTTAAATTTTTTTTATGTGAAATACTTTACGTTAACCTATTAATAGCTGATCTATACAATCTGCTTATTAGCCAGGGGTATCCAAGCCCCAGGATTCTTGCTGAAAGTCGTAGTTTCTTTTGTCAGGCCTTTTGTATTGCAGTAGTGGTGCACAGAGCTTGCATTCTGAACAGGCAATTTGGGGTAATTTCTGCCAGAATCGGCCCAGACTCGTTCATGGTTCCTTAGAAAACAGTGATTAATGCTAGTATCATTGAATATTAAGGTACTATGAGGATGTCTCCTTACTGGACAGTAGTTGAATTAGAAATATATGTCAGTACTATGTAGATCTGTAATCTGAGATACACTGGGGTGTATTTCCATGCCCAGTTTGTTGTACGTTACCTATGATTAAACGCTTGCTTCTGATGTGTTCCTCTTTAAATGTAAATTGCACAGAATGTATTGGCGATGCACAGAGAAAGGATAGGTTTCAGAGTAGCAGCCGTATTAGTCTGTATTCGCAAAAAGAAAAGGAGTACTAGAGACACCTTAGAGACTAACCAATTTATTTATCCAATGAAGTGAGCTGTAGCTCATGAAAGCTTATGCTCAAATAAATTGGTTAGTCTCTAAGGTGCCACTAGTACTCCTTTTCTTTTTAGAGAAAGGATAGTACAGCACTCCCATAGTGAATGTTCCAATAAACTAAACTATTACAGCCATCAAATGATAAAAGAATTATACTTTAAAAACACCATGGAATAATGAAAAAAACACATTGGGTTCAGTTGTGATTTAATGTCACAGTCCATTGCAGGGGCACATGTCCTCAGCAGGAACTCCAGAAGGCATTTGCTTAGCCTGGCACAATGCTTCCAGGCACGCACCATCCTTTGAAAAGATTCAGGATGTGTTCTTCAATGCAGCCTGAGAAGCTGCCTGAGGTTTTGGCTCTGCCCCTGTAGAAAGGTTAGTAAGACAGTGTCACTAGTGTGTAGTTGTCCTTGTTTTCAGGGGAGTGCAAGGACAGCCATTTTGCCTGATCACTGTGTACGAGTGCAAAAGTGTGTAGGTACCTTGCACTGCCCTGCTCTCCGTAAACAAGGCCAGGTACAACTGAGACCGCAGATCCTATTAAGTACCTAAGAGTCAGGGTGGGTTGTTTTTTCTGGCTGAAATTCTAGACCAAAATATGAAAATAGAGTTTTCACTGAAGAATACGCTGGTAAAGTGAGGGATCTGGCTTTAGAGCACAGCTGAAGTAGCATAAACATTCCCTAAGTAGAAGAGAGGGACTTGTGTCATTTTAAATCTTGCCTTTAACCAAGCAATCAACCCAGAAGCAGCAGTGAAGGACTCCAGTGGGATTCCCATGTCCTCCGTTCTTCCAAAAGTATGGGTGGCCATGGCTGAAAGTCTTCTAGGGTTGTGCTGGGAAGAATAAAGAGAAATGGGGGAAATCTGGAGGCAAAACATTGTAAAGAGAGTTTTAAAAACCTGGTTTTTGCTATAATTCCTGTATCTAGATGTGGTGTTGCTTTTAGTAGAATGTTAAAGGGCCATCAAAAACTCGGTGGTTCCAAGGGAAAGCCAGTGAGAAAAGGCCGAAGTGATATGAAAGCATTTAGCTAAATAGAATCCTAGAAATGTAAGGGGCTGGAAGGAAGCTCGATAGTTTATCTTAGTCCATCCCTCTGCACTGAGATAAGACTATGTATACATAGATCATCACTGACAGGTGTTTTTCTAACTTGTTCTTAAAAAAAAAAAAAAAAAAGCACAGGGATTCTACACCTCCTTTGGTAACCTATTCCAGTACTTAACTATCCCTATACTTAGAAAGATTTTCTTAATATCTGACCAGAATTTCCCTTCCTGCAGAGTAAGCCGATTATTTCTTGTCCTACCTTCAGTGGATGTGAAGAACAATTGATCACTGTTTTCTTTATAACAGCTCTTAACATATTTGAAGACTATCAGGTTCCCCCTTCAGTCTTCTTTTCTCAAGACTGAACATATCTGTTTTTTTTAAGCTTTTGTCATAGGTCAGGTTTCTCTAAACCTTTTATCATATTTGTTGCTGCCCTTTGGACTCTTTAAGAATGATACAGACAAATTGTAAAGTGTGGAGTGCAAAACTGGACACAGTATTCCAGCTGAGGCCTCACTAGTGCTGAATAGAGTGAAACAATGAATCACCTCCAGTGTTTTAGATAAGACACTCCTGTTGTTCCACCCCAGCATGATATTAGTCTTTTTTGCAACTGCGTCATGCTGGGTCATATTCAGTAAGTGATTTTCTATACCTCCAGATCCTTTTCTGCAGTATTACTGCCTAACCAGTTACTCCCCATGTTGTAGTTGTGTGTTTGATTTTTCCTTCTTAAATATAGTACTTTGCACTTGTCTTTATTGAATTTCATCTTGCTGATTTCAGACCAATTCTCAAGTTTGTCAAGGTCAATTTGAATTCTAATCTTGTCCTCCAAAATACTTGCAACCACTCCTAGCTTGGTGTCCACAAATTTTATAAACATACTCTCCATCCCATTATCCAAGTCATTAATGAAAATATTGAATAGTACCTGACACAGGACAGACCTCTGCAGGACCCCAGTAGACAGGTTCTCCTAGTTTGACAGCGAGCCATTGATTACTCTTTCAGTATGTGTTTTCAGCCAGTTGTACACCCACTTACAGTAGTTTCATCTAGACCACATTTCTATAGTTTGCTTCTGTGAATGTAATGTGGGAATGTATCAAAAGCCTTCTTAAAAGCACGATAAATCATGTCTGTTGCTTCCCGTCATCCATTAAGCCAGTAATCTTGTCAACAAAGGAATTTCAGTTGGTTTGGCATGATTTGTTCTTGACAAATCCATGCTGGCTATTATTCACCATTCTATTATCCTTGGTGTACTTGTTCCATTATCTTCCTAGATATTGAAGTTACCCTGACTGGTCTGTAATTCTCCACTTTCTCTTTGTTCCCCATTTTAAAGATAAGTACAATGTTTGCCCTTCTCTAGTTTACTGGGACCTTACACATCCTTCATGAGCTCTCAAAGATTGCTTCATGTAGTTCCTTAAGTATGCTTGGGTGAATTTTGTCAGGCCCTGCCAATTTGAATACATCTAAATTATCTAATTATTCTTTAACCTATTCTAGCTTATGTTCCTTCCCCCTTGTTGTTAATATTAAATCTGGTTAGGTATTTGATCACAATTAGCCTTTTTAGTGAAGATGTAAGCAAAACAGGAATTAAACACCTTTAGCCTTTTTGATGTCATCAGCTATTAGCGCTCCTTCCCTGCAAAGTTGTGGACCTACACTTATGTTTTTTCTCTAGCTCCTAATGTATTGAAATAACCTCTTCTTGTTGCTTTTTATGTCACTTACTAGGTGTAACTCATTTTGTGCCTTAGCTTTTCTGATTTTGTGCCTACATGCTTGTGCTATTCTTTTGTATTCATTCCCAGCAATTTGTCCATGTTTCCGCTATTTATAATATTTCTTTTTGATTTTCAGGTCTTTAAAGAGCTCCTGATGCAGCTGTATTGACCTCATACTATTCTACTGATCTTTCCTTTGCATCGGGATAATTTGCTGTTATGCCTTAAATATTTTCTCTTTGAGAAATTCTTTGAGGAACTCCCTTTTCCCTTAGATTTTCTTTCCATGGGACCTTACCTACTAGTTCTGAGCTTGTTAAAATTTGCTTTTTTAAGTCCATTGTCCGTATTCTGCTGCTCTCACTCCTTTCTTTCCTTAGAAACATTTCATGATCACTTTCACCCAAATTGCCTTCTACCTTCAGATTCAAGAATCAGTCAGAATCAAGTCTAAAGTACTACCCCTCCACAGTTGTTTCCTCTACTCCTGAAACAAGAAGTTATCCCCTACACATTCCAGGAATTTGCTGGACACTTTGTTTTGCTGTATTACTTTTCCAACAGATATCTAGGTCGCTAAAATTCCCCATTATTACCAGGTCTTGTGTTTTTAGTTATTTCTGTTGTTCATTCTAGAAATGCCTCATCCACCTTCTTCTCCTGATTTGGTGATCTACCAAAATAGTTGACACCTACCGTGAAGTTGCCCCCATTTTTTGTCTTCACCCAGAGAGTTTTAACTGGCCTGTCTGTCATCTCCTTCAGAACAAGTGTATACAATCTTGATATATAGTGTAACATCTCCTCCTTGTTTTCCCCTGCCTGTCGTTCCTGAACAATCTGTGACCTTCTGTACCAATATTCTGGTTATTCAGCAATCCAATATTCAAATCACCTGTAAGAAATTTTTATTTCAGTTGCATTAAAATAGATTTCCAAATCAGCTTCATGCTTTTGAATGAAGAATGGGCATGAGGATCAAACTCCTCAGGTGCACTTCAGCTAATTTTGCTTGACTTTTTCCTGCATTATTCCTCCACCCCACCTTTGCATTTGGAGGGGTTTAATCTAATAATTTCCCAATTCTGTTTCTGCTTCAGAATGCAGATTTCACCCCAGGTACATGGCGCAGAACAGATGTGCACTTGGAAAACCCAGAGTACCACACCAGATGGTATTTCAAATATTTTCTAGGAAAAGGTAATTACCCTTTTGTAAATGGCTTAAACATGATTTTAAATAAATGAGAAATACTTTTCACATTTGAGTAATTGCAATTGTTAAAGTGCATGGGATTGACTTTATTTCTTCTTATTATTATTGCACCTTCGGTGTGTGCAGTGTTGTACAGAAGATGGATTGTGGCAGACAGGTGGGTCCATGGCCCAAAGAGCTTAGCTTCTGATGTTATTGTGGGCACAATACAATGCAGGATAAGCACATGATAGTATTTGGTCACTAAAGCTGTAATCATTCACTGCACTGCAGACTTTACTGCCAGTCCATTGGAATCTAAACTTCTAGCACTGATGCTTCATTAGTGAGAGAGAAACCCCAAACCCAAGAAGTCTTGTCACATCAGGGTTTCTTTCAAGAATTCTGGTGCTCCTCACTTTTCTATAAGATAAAAATGTTTTCAGAACACTTTTTTTGTTTGGGGATTTTTGCATTTCTACTCTTGTCCCAGACAAAATAAGGAAATATGCTTGAAGTGTATGTGAATTGTTGAAGGCCAAGTTAATTGCACATCAGGAAAAGTTTAGGCTCAGTTAAGACTTGAGTGAAGGTTCAGGTTAGTTTATATCATATCTGAAGTGGCTTACTCAATTGTCCTTGTTCTTTTTCACAAAATATCTTCCAGAACTAGCCCACTAAGTTGGCAGGATCTCACCAGATTAGTCACTTAGGCCCCTACTTGTCTTTGTAAGTCTAAAAATAACTATTATTCTACTCCATATAATGTAGCAGTATTTTGTGAGATAGCATATTTGCACAAGATTTTAAGGGAAATCAGCAGAAATTGCTTTTCTTCACAGATTTTATAGGAAGGAACTGGGATGGCAGAATCCTGTAGTTTGAGAGACTTGAAACATAAACTTTACAGAACAAAACAAAAAAATCCCTCTCTTCCCCTTGAAGCTGCAATTCCTCAATAAATTTTCTCTTATCTCTTCTAAATTTAAACCATGTCTCTTGGTAGTGAGGATCTGCAGCCAGGTTTTGATTTCCATGCTTTCTTCATTAAGTCCTTTAAAGTTGTTGACAGAGTCAGGATTTCTTAATGTGTTTGCAGGAGTCTTTCTTCTATTCATTTTGTTTTATAATAGACACCCTGAAATCTTAAACATCTATTTCTTAAAATCATTTTTTACCTTTCTGTTACTTGTGTTTCTACAGTGCTTAGCACAATGTCCATGACAAGGGCTCCTAAGCACTGCCTCAATACATACAAACAAATAAATAAAATGTACAGTCTGGTTTCAGGTTTCAGAGTGGTAGCCATGTTAGTCTGTATCAGCCAAAAACAGTGAGGAATCCTTGTGGCACCTTAGAGACTAACAAATTTATTTGGGCATAAGCTTTTGTGGGCTAAAACCCGCTCATCTGATAAAGTGGGTTTTAGCCCACGAAAGTTTATGCCCAAATAAATTTGTTAGTCTCTAAGATGCCACAAGGACTCCTTGTTGTTTTTACAATCTGGTTTGTTATTGTAGGGATGTTCAGTAGGTGTCTAGCACATTTTAGGGTAAAATTGTGGTGGCCTTACTCATGTTAGTGATCTCATTGATAAAATCATAGTCATGTAGGGATGGAAGGGACCTCAAGAGGCCATCTAGTTCATGTCCCCACAACTGAGGCAGCATCATGTATACCTAGACCTTCCCTGACAGGTGTTTGTCTAACCTGTTCTTAAACACCTCCAATACCAAGGATTCCACAAGAGCCCTTGGTAACCTAATCCAGTACTTAAATATTCTTACAGTTCGAAAGTGTTTCCTAATATCTAACCTAAATCTCCCTTGCTGCGGATTAACAATTACTTCTTGTCCTACCCTCAGTGGACATGGAGAATAATTGATCACCATCCTCTTGATAACAACCTTTTACATATTTGAAGACTGTTCTCATGTCACACCCCTCCCCCACCCCAGCCTTCTTTTCTCTAGGCTAAATATAAGCAATTTTCAGCCTTTTCTCAAACATTCTGGACCTTAAAATCATTATAACTTCCACTGAAGCTCACATCTCCTTTGTATGATGCATCTTGGGTCCATAACACCAACCGCCTACTATTAATGTTTTGTCAGTTATTACATGTTAAATGGAAGCTTCAAGGCAGCATTAAGTTTACAATTATAATTGCAAAAAGCCAGGAACTTGAAAATGTTAAGGTTATAACACAGTTAATATGGTCATATTGTACATACTCTGTATATTATGATGTACATTATGCCATTAATATGACAGATAGACATTTGTATAGAAAAACAAAAATATATCTGAGTTAATGCTGTAGGAACCTAAACTTGCTGTAATTAAATGAAAAAACAATTTATAGCTGAGATTTTAAACGTACAAAAGACTGGAATTTTAAAGTTATGGTTCACACAGAAACGGAAACTCGACAAATGGTAACTATATAATATTTAATATTGTGGTAAATAGCATTAATATTAACACTTTAATGTAGATCATAAGGTGACTGAGGCATAGTTCCTGTTGGAACCATAATTACAAATTCTGTGACTTTTCTCAGTGTATGTAAAACATCAATAACACACACCTTTCATAATTTAAAAACATTTTCTCAAATCATGTTTCTTCCTTAAAATCAATGGCATCCTTATTTGTTTTATTAGGCTTCAGTAAAGCCATTATTGACCAGCATAGACCAAATGTTAAATGCTGATGTTGTGTACTCTGGGACTGGGCATATACACTGAAATTGCTACCCACAGCAGGGAGACTGTTCCAGATGTAGTGAGCAGCATGACAGAGAGCACAAAACCAGAAGTAGAGAACGGGACAAAGGATAAAGTAAGCAAAAGGAATGGAAAGTGTTTAATGGGGCTTGAGAGAGTTCAGAGGGAAATGTGACTGTGAGATTATTATAGGACATGCTAGAATGAGTAACTCAAACTAGATGCAATAAGTAGAAGAATTCAGAGGGTGGTGGAATGGTGGGAGCTGGAGGAGTGGCAGAGAGATTGAACAAGAGAAGGTTATTTTAATCAAGGCAAGAGATCACAGCACATGGACAAGGGTTTCAGCAGCAGGAAAAGTGAGTAAGGAGATTTTGGCAATATGCTGCTGGAAACCTACCAACAATGTAGTTCCTTTTGTAACAATTGATTTTTCCTTGTATAATTGTTTTTCACTTGTTGTGTTTCCTTTCCAGTTCATCAGAATTACATAGGTACAGATGCAGAGAAGAACCCTTTTTTTCTGTCTGTCGTGCTCTCCAACCAGAACAATCAACGTGTCCCTCAATACCGCTCAATTCTCTGGAAAAAAACAGTAAGGAACAAGTACTAATAGTTGCCTGCCTGCCTGCTCTCCATGTTTTTTTAGGGCATTTCCTTCCCTCAGTTGTACCACTGAATTCTTAACATTTTTCCATAGCTACTGTGCTGTGGTTACCACAGGAGATACATATATGGTATGAGTAAGCCCAGAAAAGAATGCAAACAAATCTTATCTGTAGGCTTCATGTTTCCAGATGCTACTTTTTTGTCATCCTGGCTTCCTTCACCTACAGGAAACCTTTGGATTCCCTGCTGACCCTCTAAAGGTCATTAACTCACTAGTTATTAAAACTCACTTATTTTTAAGTATTTACTATTTCGGAGCACTATCAGTGTGAATAGCTTTATATAAAACATAGGAGAAGGAATGGTCCCTACTCCATGGGCCTTCCATTCTGCATTTAGCGAGATCATACCGTTTGGACTGTCAATATGTTGGATGACTTGCATAGAAGTCCAGTAACAAATGGGCATATTTTAATTATTCACTGTAGTGAATTATCATTGAAAAGCTTCACGGAAGTTGTGTTTCAAGAAGATATACAAATGCATAGAGGGTGGATGTGTGGCCAGAAGGAGAGACAGGAAGATCCATGTCTATTGGATAACCTCTAAGGAGACGTAAAGATGAGAGAAGAAGGATACAAAGAGAGTGTTTAGTTAGTAAGGTGGCTTAGGAGAGCAGACGGATGGGACAGAGCAGGAGAAGAGAGGTGAGATACAGGCAGGGATGGAGTTGCCAAGGGCCTTGAAGTAGATGATAAGAAGCTTAAAGTTGATATGTAAGGAAGATGAAGCCAGTGGAGGAGAGGACTGACATGGTCAGAAGCAGTAGAAGTGGGTTAAAGGGAAAAGGGTAATGTAAAATATGAAGTGTTGGTGGAGTGGCGTAACACATAACCACTTAAAAAATTAATGCAAACTATAAAAGCAAACAGACAAATTAGACAGATTTATACAACTCCCAGGCAGTGAGAGTACATCGAAAGAATATCACCCACATACATGCTTCCTGTCTCAAGCGTTTTGCAGAAGAGATTTTGGTCAATTCTTGGTGGTATATGCTTCATAGGAATCACACCATCCATATTGATTTGTTCCATGTTTCCTGGCTCATGGGTGGACTGTCTTTACAAAAAACAAAATTAAAAATAAAACTACCAGAAAGGAAATTTAAAAAATGAAGATAACGTAAGGGGGAAATGTTTCAGAGTAGCAGCCGTGTTAGTCTGTATTCGCAAAAAGAAAAGGAGTACTTTGTGGCACCTTAGAGACTAATAAATTTATTTGAGCATAAGCTTTTGTGAGCTACACGAAAGCTTATGCTCAGATAAATTTGTTAGTCTCTAAGGTGCCACAAGTACTCCTTTTGTTTATAAGGGGGAAATGTTCTCTTCATTCTGCACTTTAGACTCCCATCTGTCATTATATTTTTACCATACAATGGGGAAGTGTCAGTTACTTCAGAATACACTAGTCCAAATGACTAGCAATTTATGGCTGCTGAATCAGTACAGTGGGCACATTTACATTCATTCCAGTTGTCAAGATATTACTGGTTCTAGTGGTATTATCCATTCCAAATATAGGAAATATAATTAAAACTGGAATTAACTTTTTAATTGCACCCACTGTATGTAGACGAAAAGCTGGACAGTGTACAGATTATATAGTTTTGCTTGTGAGTGTTGTTTGGTCCTACTGGATGCCTTAATAGTCCTGTGTTTGCTACATGTGAACATCAGCTACAAATGAATAAAAACTCTTGTGTTTCCTTGGTTTTTTGTTGTTGTTGTTTATCTGATATGGTTCTTTAGTGATGTGATCATTAGCCAATAAAACCTTTACTCACAGAAATAGTCTTCCAAATAACAATTTTAGTGGTAACTTTTTAATGAATTTTGGTAACCTCCCAGGCTTAGTTTGAAACAAGATGGTGCCCTTACTGTGCCCAGCTGCTGTGTGATACCATATGACACCCGCTGCATAAAATGACTGAATATGTACTCAAAATAAGGACTGTGGGGACATTTGCCATTCAGCAACCATTTGATCAGTTCTTTTAAATTTTCAGGAGCAGATATACAATAGTTAGAGTTCTACAGCTAAGAACTGATATGGTGTAGGTGTGAGCCTTGTAGGATTTCCCTCTGTGGGTTATTAAATGACCATAACACTGCACTATGTGTTCAGAAATATTGAGATCAAGTAGATAATAAACCTCATGCCATTTTACAAGTCAAAAGAATAACAGTGGTTTTATGCAGAATAAAAATTAAAGTGTAAGGTCAGCAAAGGTATCTCTGGGAGTCTATTAAGTCCTCTTTAAATACCTTTACAGAAACCTACTAAATAGTTTTATGTCAATGGAATGTTTTCTTCCAGCACCAGGAAGAAAACTGAGACATGTTGTTCTTCGGTCTTTGTTTTTCTGTAAAATATTTTGCTGTTGTATTGTATGTTTTGTGATTCTAAAAAATGTATTTCTTTTTTTTGTGATAGGGCTGGGAACATAACCGGCTGGATTGTGTTTGTCCCCCTTTATAGGAGATGTAAGTGGAAGGGAGGCTCCTTCTCCCTATTGTCTCCCTGGCATAACCATGTAGGGTCCTGGCATCATAATGTGATCCATTATGCTCTTGACCCTACTACAAAGAATAGACGCGCTTTTGAAAGGTCAAAATAACATGCACTGCAACAGCAAAATATATACTCCCTGGTACTGCCTCCTTTCCAAAGGGGGACACAGAGAAGGTGGGATCATGGCCCCATTACCCTTCACACAGCCTATGGAACTTATTAAATGCATTGGAGAACATTATATTCATAGGAGCACCAAGCTGAATTGTGCTTCCCAGAGCTCTTCCTAAGGCATTGCAGCTCCATTCCACCCCCAGAGTGGGCCAGTACCAATAGGTACAGTGTGGCCCACAATTTAGAGGGCTGATATTTTTCTTTCAGGGTTACTGTTAGCTGCTCTGATTCCCCCCACCCCTTTTTTTTTTGAATTGTGTGTAAAAGCTTCTAAGATGTTGATAACATATGTCTCTCCTTCAAGTGGTCTCTGCATATTGCCTTTTGTGGGATGCACTGACAGTTAATCATAGTGCCTGTTGGAGGACTCGCGGGCCCTTGTCTGCCCATTCCCTCACAATCATGAAGTCCTAGGGTAGGGGTCTCAAAGTGCCGGCCCACGGGCCATCTGTAACCTGAGAGCCTCCCCACTGCAGCCCGCAGAGAAGAGATACATGCAGCCATGCTCCTGGCAATGTCTGCTGCAGGTGCCGCCCATGGCAGCTCCCATTGGCTGGGGGAGACTGACAAAGACACCATCATTAGTCACTGGGCAGAGTCAGCCATGGAGGCGGTGTCACTTTTTTCCACAATGAATATAAACAAGTCAAAATACTGAACACAACTATCTGATGCACACCTTGCTGCAATTCTGAAGGTTTCAGCTGCTCAGTCACTGAGGCCAAACATCAACAAACTGACAGAACTGAAGCATTGCCGGGTGTCTGGCAAACACTAAAAGCTCTCTGGCAGGCTCAGAATTATATAAATTTGTATGACAGTTTTATTATTTCTAAGAAATTCGTAATAAAAGATACAATATAAACGTTTTTCTTTCTGAACACCATTTCAGTGACATTATTGGCTCGCTGGGAGGATTTGAGGACTGGCACTGGCCCTAAGATAAATTGAGTTTGAGACCCCTGTCCTAGGGGCTAGGCTACAAACGAAGGTTTGGCACTCTGACAGCCTCAGTCCCTTCCAACACCAGCAGTGTCGGATTGGGAATCAGACTGAACCTGTGGTCTAAAGCTTTCTTCAAGATAGCTATTTTATTAGGCCTTATCTAATAGCTATTGTTTATAGTTATTTAGTATAAGGTTATATTAAACTAGGTTTATAGTAATTTAGTATAAGATTTTATTAAAATACGTTTTTAGTATTTGATAGTATAACTTGTTCAAGCATTGGTTCCATTCTGGAAGAAATCCTGATGGTAGATCTGAAGATCAAAAAGCCAGGAGTGAGGACAGAGACAAAACAGGCTTCAGGCTTTACTCCTTCAAGAAGTGCAAAAGCCTGGTTGATCCAATACAACCATCAATTCCAAGAAGATGCACAGTCTAGCTTCGGTTCTGGATACATCTGTGGGGAAGTATCATCCAGCCATGTGGAGAGAGACAGGCAGCCAGCAACCCAGCAAGCACACGTAGGAGAAACCCGAAAGCAAAAGGAAAAAATGAACCGCAAGCAGCCTTTTAAAGCTTTTTATTTAGCAGATTGAGCAACCAGGAGCCAATCACACTCTCTGGCGGGAAATTTCTGAAAAAAAGCACAAGCCACACCTCCGGAAAAGTCCCAGAACAAGCAACACACTGCTTAAAAAAATGAGTAGGCAATTACATACACAAAGAGGCCAATATACACTTGCCGGGAATGGGCTTGGCAACACATCATCAGTTCCACCATCCTCTTTGGTTCTGACCCTAAAGAAGATACCTAGAAAGGATCCTAAGTGCATGGATGAGAAATCTAAAAAAAGCCCAGTAGAAAGGCCAGTGTGAGCAGAGCTAAACCATGAATAAGAACCTCCTCAGAACTGGAAATCTTAGAACCAAGTAGACTTTGCTTGCAGAGTTTTTACATGCTGAATGAAAAAACACTCAAGTGAAATAGCAAATATAATTACAAACTCAATTATGGGCAGGGGTCGACGCTCTGAGATTGATCCACCAGCGGTTGATTTAGTGGGTCTACTAAAGACCCACCAAATCGACCGCAGATCGATCTCTGTATTCTACCTCCGATGAGAAGAGTAAGGTAAGTCGACGGTGTAGACCCCGTGGTAACTTGACCTAAGGTACGTCGATTCCAGCTATGTTATTCACGTAGCTGGAGTTGCGTATCATAGAATATCAGGATTGGAAGGGACCTCAGGAGGCCATCTAGTCCAACCCCCTGCTCAAAGCAGGACTAATC